GAACCGACTCCATGGCACATAACAACTACAACAACATATATATATTAGTCAATTCTAGTTCATAGAGATTCAAGAGAGGGTTTCTATGAAGAAACTGGCAGGTTTGAACTGTCAACCAGTGCTTTTCCTACAGCGTCACATCAGGACTCCTTAATATAAAGTATTTAAGATACTTTGGCTCTTTTGACATGATATGTAAAAATAAAACAACACATATATTTGGTAAATGAAATGAGAAGAATAAATGAAATACACATTGGTTAGGATAGAGGTAGCATAAATGAGATATGATTGATGTTAAGAGTTGTTTCTGATTCATAATGACTCTGTATAGGGTTCCCAAGGAGTGGTTAGTGGGTTTGAATAACTGACCTGTGGTTGGCAGTCCAGTGCTGCTTATTTTAAAGTGCCATATCAAGACTACATTTCCTATGTTGTTGTTAGGTGCCATCGAATCAGTACATACTAATAGAGACCCTACATACAGCAGAATGAAACACTACCCTATCCTGGGTCAGCCTCCCCACTGTTGCCATGCTTGAGTCCATCGATGCTGCCACTAGGCCAATAAATCTCATTGTGATCTTCCCCTTTTTCTCTGACCCTCTACTTTACCAAACATGATATCCTTCTCCAGAGACTGGTCCCTCCTGACAACATGTCCGAAGTACAAGAGATGATATTTGTCCATCTTGGCCTCCAAGGAGCACTCTGGCTGCACTTCTTACAACACAGATCTGTTGGTTCTATGGGAAGCCCATGGAACTTTCAATAGCCTCCTCCAACACCACATCTCAAAAGCACCAATTCTTCTATGGCCTTCATTATTCACTGTCCAGCTTTTATATGCATATGAGGTTATCAAAAATACCATGGCTTGGGTCAAGCATACCTTAGTCCTCAAGCTGACATCTTTGCTCTTCAACACTTTAAAAAGGTCTTGTGCAGCAGATTTGCATAATGCAATACATCTTTTGATTTCTTGACTGCTGCTTCCACGAGTGTTAATAATTTATCCAAGAAGAATGAAGCCCTTGACAACTTCAATCTTTTCCCCATTGATAAGAATGTTGTTTATTGGTCCAGTGGTGAGGATTTTTGTTTTCTTTACATTGAGATGCAATCCATACTGAAGGCTGTGCTCTTTGATCTTCATCAGTAAATGTTTTAAATCCTCTTCACTTTCAGCAAGCAAGGTTGTATCATCTGCATATGGCAGGTTATTAATGAGTCTTCCTCCAATCCTTATGCCACATTTTTCTTTATAGAAGCCATCTTCTCAGTTTATTTGCTCAGCATACAGGTTGAATATGTATAGTGAAAGAATACAACCTTCTCACACACCTTTCTTGATTTGAAACCAATCAGTATTCCCATGTTCTGTTTGAACAACTGCATCTTGGTCCATGTACAGATTCCTCATGAGCACAATTAAGTGTTCCGGAATACTCAGACTTTGCAATGTTTTCCATAACTTGTCATGATCCACACAATCGAAAGTCTTTGCATACTCAATAAAGCACAGATAAACATCTTTCTGATATTCTCTGCTTTCAGCCAAGATCCATTGGACATCAACAATGATAGCCCTCATATAGTGCTATGTAATATAACAGAAATGTTGTAACAGGGTCAGAAGCGATTGATGAACAGAGAACTACTGGAGAAAAGAAAATAAATGTCTCTACAGAATGATGTAAAAGGACAACCTATATGTAAATCTGAATTTTAAGTAGATATGAAGAACAGAGTTGCACCTGATATTATGATTATACTGTAAAAATTTCAACAGCATGCTTTGTGGTCATAATATAATTTCATTCATGTTTTTTTTTTTTTAAACAAACCTATAGTATCCAAATTTTTCAAAACCTTTTATAAACCAAGAGAATTGCATTAACAATAAAATTAGAGTGCATTTTCTTATATAAAAGAATCCTTTTTGCACAAGGGTATCTGTTGATGGTCAAATTCCATGTTGAAATAATAAAATTTGAGTTCTCATGTAATTTGTTAATTGTGTTAAGACTGTAAAATATCAAAACATAATTGTGAATCTTTAATACGTGTTCACAGTTGAGTAGATTATTCTGTTTGGTCCCATTTATTGTTTACATAGAATCCTTGTATCAGTGAACAAATATCAGCCACCAGCAAGCATCAGTGAACAAAAATGGAGAAATAAGAATACAGTGGAAAGAATGTTAGGCTGGTTTCCTTCTGCCTGCCATTCAAGGAAAATCTTTATGTTCCATAATTTAGAATAAAGCCCTACAGAAAGATGCCTACTTTAAAATAAGAACATTTTGATCAAATAAACATTTCCAGTTTTGTTTAGCCATTTTGTCCCCTTCAGTGACAGAGATTATTTCAATTGCTTATGACAACTGATTTTATTTTTATAGGAATACAATTTTGATTCAGAAGGAATTATTGTCAGCAACATCACATTGAGTCATTTGTTAAAACGTATTTTTACATAATCTATCATTTTCCTGGGGTCCCAGTGTGGTACTGTACAACAAGCACTGGATTGCTTTAACCATAAGGTTAAAGATTCAAACCACCCAAAGTTCCATGGGAACCATAAACACGAGGTGTTTAACAACAACAACAACAATCCTTTTTCTGAAAGCAGAGGATATCCAAAAGACACTTACCTGTGTTTTATTGACTATATAAAGATATTTGAATGTGTGAATAATAAGCTTTATATAACATTGAAAAGAATAAAATTTACAGAACATTTAATTTTGCTCATGCTAAACCTGTACAAGAGGCAGTCATTCAAAAATAACAAGGGAATACTACATTATTTTAAATCAGGAGAGGTATGCCTCTGTTTTTCATCATTTCACTATACTTACTTAATCTTTTATGCTGAATAAATAATTTGAAAAGATAGACTATGAAGAACAGGGCATCAGAATTGGAGGATGGTTCATTAACAACTTGTGATATGCAGATGAAACAACCTTGCTTGCTAAAGCCCAGAGGACTTAAATCACTTACTGATGAACATCAAAGATTACAGCCTTCAGTATGAATTGCATCTCAATGCAAACAAAACTAAAAATTCTCACAACTGTACCCCCCCCAAAAAAAATGCTACTCCAGATTAAAAGAAGAAAATATTGAAGTTGTCAAGTATCCCATTTTACTTAAATCCACAATCAACTTCCATGAAAGCAGCAGTCAAGAAATCATGTGAGGTAAATCTACTGCAAACGTCTTCTTTAAATTGTTAAAGAGGACTAAGGTGTGCCTGATGCAAACCATGGCATTTTCAATAAATAAAGAGTACTGGTGTGGCACTGCAGGATAATG